CCTTTTCTATTGCTGCTCCTAATGTCTGGAACAATCTGCCCCAGCGCATTAGAGAGATCACTGACCACTTTTAAAACACGTCTTAAAACCCATTTTTACTCCTTGGCATATGACACATTTTATGGTTTTAGACTTAGAGACTTAAGAGTTTTTTATTGTCATTTTATTGTCATATGCGTAAGAAACACTGAAACAGAAACATTGTGGGTCTGTATACAAGAGCAGTTATATAGTACAATAAATAAATAAATACAGGTGGAGGGGCTATGGTCATTTAGGGTAGAGATGGTAATTTTACTGAGACCAAGATATTGCACAGGACCGAAAAATATTGCACATACCAAAGATATTGCACATGAGCCAATAAAAAAATATATTGCACAGAACATGGAAAGACTGAGATGTTGCAATAGCAGCGTCAGAGTGGATGTGTTGGAGAAGTCTGTTCACACTCTCAGTTTGCATTAAGAGTTCTGACAGGCGCTGCTGGGCTTTCTTCACCAGGGCAGATGTGCTTGTGGACCAAGAAATGTCCTCAGATATGTGGGTGCCGAGGAACTTAAAGGAGGGCACCCTCTCCACATAGTCACCTTTTATGGCTAGGGGAGGGGGATCAGTTCTTGTTTTACGGAAGTCCATGACCACTTCCTTTGTTTTCTTGGTGTTTAGGGTGAGGTTATTGTAGCTGTAATCTAATTTGCTGATTTTATTGTTTTAAATGTAATTCTAATTATCATTTTATACTATTTTATGTTTTTGCTATTTGTGCTGATTTTATTACTTTAAATGTCATTTTAATATATATGGCAATTAAGTCCAATATGGCAATATGGGGTGATCGTGGCTCAAGAGTAATCGAAAGGTTGCCGGTTCAAACCCTGTTCCAACAGTCTCGGTTGTTGTGTCCTTGTGCAAGACACTTCACCCATTGCCTACTGGTGGTGGTCAGAGGGCCCAGTGGCGCCAGTGTCTGGCAGCCTCACCTCTGTCAGTGCGCCCCAGGGTAGCTGCAATGTAGCTTGCCATCACCAGTGTGTGAATGTGTGTGTGAATGGGTGGATGACTGAATGTGTAAAGCACTATACAGGCCATTTACCACTTTTATAATCTTATATTTTTTAACTTATTGTATCATTTCTGGCATGTCAAGTGTACAGTCGTTCTGAAAGTGCTATATAAATAAATTGCTTGCTTGCTTAATTAATAATTTAATGGTGTATTTAATTAATTAATTATGGCAGTCCTGGTGTTCCATAGAGCAGTGGTTCCCAAACCTTTTTCACTAGACCCCCCCCCCGCGCACAAACACATCCTCCAACCACAAACACCCATATTTTGCTCCATTGCAGTTTATTTCACACCTCAAACATTTAGTAAACAATTAAGCAAGTACAAGTAAACTGCAATAAATTACAGGTAGTAAGAAAATAAACTACTAACTCTTTTATCCTATGTCCACACCTACACGGGTATTTTTGAAAACGCAACCCAAAAAAGGAGTTTTAAAAAATCTCGTTTTCGGTGATTCCAAACGCCGTTTACTTGTGGACGAGGAATATAGAGTTCTTCACGCAACGTCAAATGTATGTGCCTTTTTTCACGTCACGCTCTGTGCCACGTTATTGTTTATACGAGATGAATTGCAGAATGGCAGATAGTCAGATTAACAGTATTTTGTCTCTATCTTCAGGTTTTACACGCTTACATTAGGGGTGCAACGATACTCGTATCGATATTGAGCCGTTCGATACAGTGCTTTCGGTTCGGTACGCATATGTATCGAACAATACAA